CAAACTTCAGATCTGGGCATGGTTCCCACGTAGCATTTAGATCACTTTTTAGATGGAGATTCCTATAACTGATTCTTCATCAGAATAATCAACACTCTCATTTGCTGATCTGATTTGAGAGGTTTTCTCTTTCAGAGAAAAATTAAATCTACACCAAGCCAGTCTTACCTACAGCATGTTCCCTCATATTAGAATTAAACTGACTGGTCTTTACTGTGTTATCCTGCCTTTATGCCTGTGCCTGTTCAGAAATTTGCACTTTCAGCTCTATTTCCAGAGGGTTGGGGACTCTTGAATGAAACCACTTTTATACAACATTACAGCATTTTGATAATTTATACAGAGTCCAAGACAAAGGTTGTTCCTCCTTGTTTCGACATCCACAACCTAATTCTGCCAGTGTGAAAGTATCTCAGTCTATGTGAAATACCATCAGTATTTTGCCTCCCTGTATAGAGCAGTTTGTAAACACAACACAATGGGGCAGAAGCTTAATTCTTCTGGAGACTTGGATTAGGGTAGCCAATTACCAGCCCTGTCTGACTAATATCAGCAATTTCTTATGGGTGAAAGCTTTGCCCCATTTCAGCAATCTGACAGATGACAAGTAAGAGGTCATCAATGTGTTTTGTAATGAGGCCATTCATATTGCTAAGCAGCAAATTAATACAGTCAGGCATGCGGGTGTCAATGCTTCTAAATTCATGGCAGAATCTGTCAGTCAAACCTTATGCAAAAGTGTGAACAATATCTGCCATTAAAAAAAAGGTTATTTAATTCCAATTCCAGGTACTATCCTGGAACAGAGATTTGTATATGGTTCTATGCCATATTGACTTTTGGAATTGTTTTATATCTTGCAAGTATTCCTCATATCGACCCACCTGATAGGTTGGAACAATATTTTGTCAGGTATTTTTTAAGCCACATTTTTTGGGGCAGAACTAGAGTCGGTGCTTCACTATGCTTATTATTATTTATTTATTTATTTTGCCATTGCTATATTTGTCTTTTTTTCTTTTCCCATTTGTCCATCAGATTGGATCTTTCTCCTGTTTCACCACCACCACCACCACCTACCGTATTAACATTACTATTAATAAGTTTCAGCAATATGAGATATTTGTTCATTGTATTTCTCCCACTCTGTTTTTAAGTAGGTTTTGAAAAGAAATTTCTAATTCCTTTCTTCCCAGGTATTTAGCTACTTCAACATGGAGTTTGTCACTAGTTATTAATATTTAAGCCCTTCAGTCCCATAGTTCTTTCTCATATGCACGAATAAGAAACATCACAGTGCAGAAAAGCCAACTCTCCCCCCCAACTGTGCCTTTTTGAGTAGTCATTTCTGACTACCCAATTCAGGAATCTTCCCTGTGTGGATTGGACATACTTCAGTACCAGGACAGAAATTGCAGTCGTTTCAATTGCTGGGTTGGAATGCTGCATAGCAGGTGAGACTCTTTCCAGTATCTTTGCTGTGGAATGGCTTTGTAAGTGCAGACGCCCTATGTGGAATTCACAATGGCATGTAAAAAAATCTTTTCTGCAGGAAGACATTACTACAAATCTCACTTTTGGGGAGCTAAAGCAAGGAGCCTTTTCATTGTGGTGCCAACATTGTGGGCTCCCTCTCTGTGCATCTTTTGCAAGCTCTTTGAGACTGGAAAGCTTTCCCTTGATTTGAATTGTGGCTGCCTTCTTTTTATCTGTCTTGTTGTAATGCTGCTATGTTTTTATTTTTGTAGGGGGTGCTTTTTGTGCTTTTGTAGGGGGTGCTTTTTGTAGGGGGTGCATTTTTGTACTGTATTTGAGCTGCCAAGAACGTTGATTGTGGTGGCATAGAAACAAGTATATTGCATAGTTGCATTAAATTAGACTATCATTGGATGATCAAACACACAGTGAATGTGGGTAAAATATGAAGGAGGGGGATTAAATAAAATTCTCTCTACAATTACTTTTGGTTTCCTAAACACAGAATTATAGGATTCTGTGAATTATGTCATCTAATGAAGGAGGATATAGTGGAATAATGGAGGAATGAAACAATACAATAAGGGTGCAAATAAACAGTAAGAAGGTAAGAGCATCTGGGAATGAGCAGATTGTTTTATGACCGATCCATGCCATTTTTATCCACTGGACAATGCCATTCAAATATAAGCATTAGTCCAAAAAGTATGGCCCATCAATATGGCACACCCAGATTCTTTCTAAAAGAAGAAATAAAAATATAAAGAGATATCAAAAGCAAAATAAAGTTTGCAAAGAATGATGTACTTCAAGGACGTCCCTAGATAAAAAATATCCAGCTCACCAAGTAAATCATGGGGGAAAGCCTTTTAGAATTCTTAACAACTTTTGCACCAGCAGCAGAGTTTCATACTCATTTGATTATTAGATTACAGATTATTTTTTATTTTAATCCCGTTTTATTGAGCGTGTTCCACTTTGAGATCTGTTGATCTACAGCAGCTTAGAAATACTTTATCAATAAACATAAATTCCTTTGTGCCCTCCTGTAACTTTTTATCCTCTTGAAGTCATATAGTTAAAATGCCTTGTATAGCCTTGTTGAATATGCAGTACTCCACTCACTGAATGAAGAAACATGTAAATGAGCAGGAAGATATTTTCAGACCTTCAGTCAGTTTGCTTTAATTGTAAGGAAGAGCCAGATAGTTCACATCGCATTTGGTTAGCTACTGGAATAGCCCTCTCCAGTGACTGATTCCTATATCTCAGCCAGGGAAGGCACCCCAAGGAAGACTGCTGACATTGATCTTAGGGAATGGTTGGTAATAGCTAGGGGAAAAAAACCCATATTTATTCTGGCTTTATAGGTTAATACCAACAACCTGAATTGGAACTGGGTAAAAAAACCTTATTAAACTTGCAAAATATACTCTCATTATCCAACTATAATCAGCACTCTGGCCGCATCATTTTTGGACGAAATATTTTAGGCTGTTTTCAAGGGCAGTTGTATATGTATAGCATGTAGCATTAATCTAAAGAAAAGTTTATCAGGACACAGATTACTGCAACGAGACCTATTCACACAGAGCAATACAGCCTAAAATGTGTATTATTCTATAGAGGATGTGTGTATCTAATGATAAAAATAGAATTAGAAGCTACAAACTTGATCCTCCCTAAATGAAAGTACAATAATAGCACTTCTGTCTTGCCTAGATTCAGCTTCAGTTTCTTGGCTTTCATCCAAACCCTCAGTGCAGTCAGGTGCTGGTTCAGCACTTCTACCTCCTTACCTGGAATTCCTGAGAAAAGAGTAAGAACATCTGTGTGCAGATGACACGTTCCTCCGCATCTCCAAATGATCTCCTTTGTTCCCTGTGGGTGTTCTATAACATGGGAACCTTGGAGAATTCTCCCCCATTGTGAATGTCAATGGGTTGAGTAGAAATCCTCCAGGACCACCTTTGGAGTTAGCCATGTCAACCATTACAAAGCAGTTCATCCTGACCTATATAAAGAATTTTCTCAGAAGGATACCTGAATGCACCAGAGAAGTCTAAGAGAATGGACAGGGTACATTTTACGTATCTCTTTCCTAAGAAAGACAATCAGAACAGAACAGCATTACAGATTTGGAAGGGACCTTGGAGGTCTTCTAGTCCAACCCCCTGCTCAAGCAGGAGGCACTATACCATTTCAGACAAATGGCTGTCAAATCTTTTCTTAAAAACCTCCAGTGATGGAGCCACCACTTCTGAAGGCAAGCCATTGTTAATTGTTCTAACTGGCAGGAAATTTATCTTTATTTCTCCTTGATTAGTTTACATCCATTGTCTATGGAAATTCTCAGCCATCCAGGTCATGGTTGTCCCAAAGGTGCTTTTTCAAGAGGCAACTGGACTTTCTGGGTTTTTTTCCTTGAAGACATTTCGCTTCTCATCCAAGAAGCTTCTTCAGCTCTGACTGGATAGTGGGGAATGGAAGGATTCTTCTGGGCTACTAGGATAGTTTCGGCGCCAAAACCAGATCTAAAAATTATAAAAGTGAATTTAAAACTGCTTAAAATGAATCTAAAAAAAATTAATTGATTAAAGAATATATGAAAAAATAACATATAAAAGAGTGGTAATCAATGTACAAAGTCACTGACTGGACCAATTCCATTAAAAGTCACTACATTCTGCAGATTATTTGCTTATGCTTAAAAGGTCAGTAAAAGGGTCACAGTTTTAAGTGAAGTAAAGAGTGCCTTTCGGGCATCGCACAATTTGTATTATAACCATTATTTGAATATTTACCAATTCCCATGGATTAATATTGTTTATAGTAAATAATTTGTTCAGAATTGTGCAGAAATTGCAAAGAAAAAAATGCTTAGAAGGTTTCTGAGTAATGATGCTGATCTGTCCAAATCAGAAGTCTAATAACCTAAATGCCATGAAAATTATGTGTACATGCATATGTTTACTGCCTTTGCATTATGAGTCCACTGGAGTTGGGTAGTCAATAAATTTAATCAATGAAAATAATAATGACAATGACAACAATAACAACAACAAAACAATAATATATTACTTATAGAAGCTTTAGGAATGGACAATGAAGAATGCCAAAACACATTTGACTTTCAAAGTCCTTTCTTAGGACTTTGCTGCTGTGTGAGGTGCTACCAATTCTCCAGTCCCAAAAATTATAGCTTACAAAATGTTGTGTGCAAGGACTTCTACAGTACATATGTAAACACAAATACAGGATGGCCATGACAATGAGAATTAAGTGCTCTGAATACCTGGTGTGGAATATAGCATTGCAAGTTCAATTTACCTTTGCACAAGAAATTATTATAATCATTTGCAGGTTCAGGACAAAATCATGTCAGATGTTCTTGTTCAGACAGTAACCATTACATGTGACAACCACTTTCAATGGGTTATGGAATGTTGGTATGAATGAGAAGTGTGCCTTTTGTGCAAATTTTGCTTTCAACATTAACAAGACTTCTATAATCTCCTCTGCAGGTGAGAAGCCTTACAAGTGTTCATGGGAAGGGTGTGAATGGCGTTTTGCACGAAGTGATGAACTTACACGGCATTACAGGAAGCACACGGGAGCAAAGCCCTTTAAGTGCAGCCATTGTGACAGGTAACAGTTACTATTTTCTCTCACATTTTATCCCACTTCTTAATACAAGAAGTGCTCCCAAATCAATTAAGATATTATGATGATGATTGGTCCCACAGTCAGCCAGACGATTAGACTGGATTTGGCATTTTTATCCACCCATCAGGTTCTTTCTAAAGACCTCGGAAAGGCAGATGTTGTTTGATAGTGTTTTAAAAATACTGTGGCAGGATATAAGCTGATCCAAGTAAAGCTGCCTTTTGCAATTGACTTATGGTAAATTTGTGAATCCTGATGATGTTCAAATGGTGCTCCAGATGTTTTGGGATTGCACCCAAGGTACCTTTTACCGTTAGTACTATCTTCTCTTTCTTTAGCTACAGTTGTTCTACTTCTAAATCGCAGGTCTTTGTATTTTGTTACTTTCTCCAGTTATTTCTTTTAATGTGCTGTCTCTGTCTTTTGACATCATCATTATTATTTAAATACAGCATTTATTTTTGTGAAAACATACTGACTTTTTCTTTCAAATGTACAGTTAGTTTGTACTTTTATGCACTTCTCTGCACAGATTCTAAAGAAAAGATAATATATACTGCAACTCCTGGATTCACAGCTACTGCTCAAAGAGGAGGTGGCAGATATGCCTAGGAGGCCTTTGCCCAGGTTCATCTGGGGCACCAGTTGCACCCTTTCTTCAGTTGGGTGGTCTCCTTCAGTGTGTAACTCATACTCTGATCACCTCACAACTGGTTATTGCAGTACATCATATGTGGAGCTGCCTTTGAAGAAGGCAGCTGGAAGCTACTGTGTTTCTCCAAAAAGATGACCCACCTTGAAAAGAAGCCCTATCATGTCTGTGAGCACATGTGATCAAATTAAGCCCCACCCACAAAATTAGCTCTAAGACTCCACACACCCCAGGATGCAGGAAGTGGGGTAAGGCACACAGGTAAAAAATAAGCTAGGGACGCGTTGGGCCACGAGATGCGTGTCTTACCTTTCCGGCACCATCACGTTCGTTGCCGTTCTGTCCAGGGAGACACATTGTAGAAAAATCTTTCTCGCAAGTTCAGCCAAACTCCTTGAACTTGTGAGAAAGTTTTTTCTACAACGTGTCTCCCTGGATAGAAAGGCAAGGAACGTGATGGTGCTGGAAAGGTAAGACGCGCGTCTCGCAGCCCAACGCATCCCACCCCAATGGCAACAGCAGCCTGGCTGCTTCCCTTCCCCACCGCCTCTTTATTGAGAGGGGTGGCAGGTGGGGCGGGGGAGAAGTGAGATCCACCTGCCACCCCCAAATTGCACCCTAAAGGGGGAGGGTGGGGGCAGGTGGCTAAGTGAGGGGCAGGAGCCCTGTCATGCCCAACCGGGAGTGGGGGAGAAGAGACAGCAAGGGGAGCCACGTCTCGCTCCACGCGTCTCACTTCTCCCCCGCCCCACCTGCCAGAAATGAGTCTTTGTGAGACTCGTCACACCACTGCTGCTGCCTCATAGAGCAGGACTCTGCAAGGCTTGTGCCGTTGCATGCGGGAACTGCAGCACAGCCGCGAGGTTCGACATACTGGCACAGCCACGAGCAGCAGGACGCCAGCTGTGCCAGTATGATGAAGCTCGTGGCAGTGCTGCAGTTCATGCATGCAATGGCACAAGCCTTGCAGAGTCCTGCTCCATGAGAAGCGGCGGCGGCGGGAGACATCAGGGCAGCGGCCAACATGAAGAATGGGGAAGGGAGGCGACGGCAGCAATGGGACATCCAGTCCCACTCTTATCACCTCCTGCACCCCCAAAATAATAAGACACCCATCCCCCCCCGATAATAAGGCCAAGCCCTTATTTGGGGGTTCAAAAGAAAATAAGACCCTGTCTTATTTTTGGAGAAACACGGTACTTACCAGGCCTCGCAGACCTCGACACCTGCCTCGCCTTCTTCTGTGGCTGCTTCTTCTGGCGGCTGCTTGCCCTGGGCACGCATCGCTCTGGCCTCCATTTCGCCTTTAGATGCCTGCCAGAAGATATCTGCAGCCAATAACAGAGCTCCGGATCAGTCCACAGAAGAAGTGGGCCAGCAGCGGGCTCCTACTGGGTGGGGCTGTCTGTGCCACTGCCGCAAGGTGAGTCAATAATTAGAACCCTCCAAAAAGAAGGCCTGGCTGTTTTTTCAGGGGTCAAAAGAAAATAAGACCCGACCTTCTTTTTGGAGAAACACGGTATAATTGGTTTAAAATGCAGTAGCGTAAATGGCATCTGTCAACATGCCCATGGATCGCCAATGCTATACAAGCTGTATTGGTTGTCATTCAGCTTCCAGATCTAATTCAGGGTGCTGTTTATTACCTACAAAGCATTGTATGGCATAGGGCCTGGATACCTGAAGGCCAGTTTATCTCCTATCCTTTCTGCCTGTCTAGTACATTCTGGCAGAATGGGTGAACCTAGGTCCCCACTATTAAATGTTGTCATTTTGTGGAACTAAGGAAGCATGCCCTCTCCATCATTGCCCCCACCCCTCTGGAACAGCATTCCCCCAGAGATAAAGACTATGCCATTTCTCCTGGGGTTGCGGGAAGCACTTAACACCTAGCTTTGGTCCTAGGCTTGGGATGGGTGCATTATTGTTGTTTATTGGGTTGAGCAGGGGAGACTGTTTTGTTTTTGGTTTGTGTTGTTTTTGGATAATTTTACTCTAGGCTGTTTATGTGGTTTTATGTTTTACCTGTTTTATGGATTGGGGGAGGGGTTGTATACCACCCAGAATCCCTTAGAGTTGGATGGCTATAATAAATAGCTAGTTTTCTTGGTGCACTCTCTCTTTTTTTTAATAGGCATTATAGCAATGGTTCTCAACCTTTTTTTTCACCACAGACCACGGGTGAAATGCTCCCGGTTCGGATGGAGGCAGGTGGTTCAGAGAACCGGTAGCAAAAATCCCTGCCCCCCCCCCAGCCCCGCCCTATCTATCTATCATCTATCTATCCTATTTCTAAACCTCCCATTTCCCTCAGATATACAAATATACAGCAGATTTAATAAATTAGGGAATGTATATAAATGTATATTTATGGGGGGGAAATCTATTAATGAAGAACAGCTACTTGTATGATATTTATTAGGAAAAATACAATTATTGAAAAAATGCAGATATTAGGGAAAATATTCAGAGAAATCCTTATAGTATTTATAGAAACATTGAATATGTTCGCAAATAGATGGATATGCAAACTGGATGGAATGAATTTAAGCAAGAATAGGCAGTGCCACATCCAGGGATGTTGCATCAGATTCTACCCCCTCCCCCTGCCATCTTTTCAAATTTCCTTAATTATCTGAAAAGAAAAACATGAATAGCAAAACAAAATGCTAGCTTCCTGAGAGTGACCTGTGACTAGAGGTGGCGGTGGTTAAAACAAACTTCCACAATACTGTTACTGGGAAATGGATGTCTTTATCCCTGTGTGTCTCTGTGAATGCTGCCTAATGTCAGCCATTTTATATTCATCTAATAAGGTTCTTATGAAACATCTATAACGTGCTTTCAAAATATGTCCATTAGTCCCCAAAAATGCCTACTTTTTTGCTAAGGATTGCAAAAGTGAAAAATTGGGGGAAAACATATTAACAAATTGATCCCTAATCAAAGATGAAGCCAAATTGCAAACCAGTCTTAAAGTAAATAATCAGCCTCCAAATCAGATACATAAAATGACAAGTGTTTTGGTTTGTATTTTTAATGAAAGGCACTGAAAGAAATAAAAAGCCATATTTAAAATTGCTGCATCTTGAAATGTTAAGAATTCAAATTATAGGTTGGCCTTATTATCCACTTCTGCCTTGCAGTTGCATATTATCAAACCATACATAGTATAACTAAAAAAAAATTCTACACATGTCCATCTGTCATTGTAGTAAAAAAATCACAGATCCAATGAGAACCTTTTCTGCATATACTGAAATCTTGTTTCAGTGTACCAAGTGTGGATATGCAGAGCTTCAAAAAACTAAATGACAACTGCTGACTATACAGCTACAACCACAAAAATAAAATCATGAATAAGTTAACAAAGATGCAGATTTGATCAAAGCAGTAATAGGAAATGCTGTAATAAATAACAGGGAAAGTGTTAAATGTTCCTGATTTAACAATTAACTCCAGTATGAAGTATAAAGCAAAACTAGAAAGAAATAAAATAATAAAATACAAAAGCAAAACCCAAAACTGTATTCATTACCTGTGGGATGAAGATAATTATGAATTTTTCTCCATGTTGCACAAACACACACACACTTACTTTCTCTTAGTCTATTTATGAGAGCAGTGAAGCACAGGTGCTCACAGGGTCAGTTACTCCTTTACAGCCCAACCTGTTTCATAGGGTTATTTCTTCTAGAGAAAAAGAGGTGAGAAAGCTATATAATAGCTGAATGAAAGGCAGGATGTAAATCTCACACATTAATATTATATGAATATACAACTATATACTTATTATTTAGCTTTATGAACTCACATATGTAGGTAAGAGATTATGCTAGAATTTATTAAAGTTCTTTATATTTTAGAAATCTGATTTAGAAATCTAAAATTGAAAACTTACTTCATTGTTTACTTTAGTTATCCTGGCATATTGCTGATAAAATAAAACCTTTAATAGATTTTGGGGTAATAAAACATAATAGGTCTGTCTTTGCTAAACAAGCTATAGACTATACCTAATTGGAAATACTGATTATGCCCAGTCTAAAACCAAGATCCTATTGAGGGACTAATCAAATAATATAGCTACATCTGGCTTTGACATACTTTAAAATCCTATTTATAAAAGTAGCTTTCTGTGCAGATTTTAGAAAATTACCCATCCTTTGTCATACAGCCTCAAGCCCATTGCTATAATAAGAAAATGTTTATAATACAATCAAACCTCTATTTCCCTCCTAAGCACACGAGATTGCCAAAACCCATGCACGAAGAAGATGCATTCGAAAGAACCAAGTCTCCTGTTTCTTAACAGGAAAGAAATCTGATC